GTTTAGGGTTTGAAGGTCAGGAATCGAAACGAACCGGCGGCAGTTGCAAACCTACGTGGGCACAGGCACGCCCATTCGTGGGCACAGGCAAGCTTCGTGGTGGCAGGCACAGGCGCAAAAACTCAAAGAATGCCTCTTCGTGGGGTATGCACGCCCCTAAGCTCTAAACCCTAAACTCCCTAAACTCCCTAAATTCCCTAAACTCCCTAAACTCCCTAAACTCCCTAAACTCCCTAAACTCCCTAAACTCCCTAAACTCCCTAAACTCCCTAAACTCCCTAAACCCGAAACCCTGAACTCCCTAATCCCAAAACTCCCGAACCCTCATCCCCAACAAGATGAACCGAAGGTTGCCCACCAGTCGATCAGGTACCAGGGTTTAGGTTTTAGGGTTTAGTGTTTAGGGTTTAGGGTTTAGGGTCCCTGAAACCCTTACTAAGACAAGCCCCACACCCTTGGAGGGACTCCTGGCCTGATCCTTGTCCTCCTAAACCTTCAACACCCTGGCCTGATCCTTCTGGTCAACGCAGAGGATATCCAGGAAAATCGACCCCCGCGGCTGCCAAAAAACAAAGGTCAGGGCGTACCTTTGAGGTTTGGGTTTTTAGGGGTCTCGGTGTGACCCCCCCCCCCCCTGAGCTGATCCTGTTTATCTCTGTAAATGTCTAGGGACGAAGCGAGGCCCGGCAAATGATGTTAAAAGTCGGGCAACGTGGAAGTCCGAGGCATGAGCACTCAGCGTCTTGAACGGACAGTACTCAAAGCGGCCCCATGGGGTTTAGGGTTCGCCCCGAAACTCAGGAAACCTAAAACCCAAGAACCCTGAACCCCTAGAACCCTGAAACCCTAAACCCAAAAACCCTGAAACACATAGACCCCGAAAAGCCTGAAGCCTAAACCCCAAATCAGACAAACCCCAGAACCCCAGTTTACTACACCACCTCATTTGCGGGTTTCCAAACGTAGGGGTACCCCTTTTTGGGGTGCCCTTTAAGGGGATCCTCTTCCATGTGAGGCATAAAAGGGGTCCCTAAACCTAGAGCCTAAACCCTAAACCCTAACCCCTAAACCCTAACCCCTAAACCCTAAACCCTAAACCCTAAACCCTACTTTGGGACATACCCACTGGAGCCGAAGTCGCAGGAGGCAGCCGGCGCCCGCGCTCCAAACTGGCGTCGCCCTGGGCTTGAACAAGTTGCGTGGGGTTTTTTGGTTCATCTTGAGGTGTAGGGTTTAGGGTTTAGGGTTTAGGGTTTAGGGTTTAGGGTTTAGGGTTTAGGGTTTAGGGCTTAGGGTTTAGGGTTTAGGGTTTAGGGTTTTTAGCTTTTAGGGTTGTAGGGTTTGCCCCAGAAACTGCAAAATGCAGGCAAAAGCAGGTCGCTCGGGAGAATCAGGGTCTGGAGGAGAAGAGCGCGGGTCTTTTGCGCGATGGCTTTTTACGGGTTTCCGACGGGTATTTGCGGGTTTCCGACGCATATATTTTTGCTTAGGGTTTTTGGTTCTGGGTTTTGGGATTAGGGCTTAGGGTTTAGGGTTTAGGGTTTATGGTTTCGGGTTTGGGGTTGGGGTTTAGGGTTTAGGGTTTAGGGTTTAGGGTTTAGGGTTTAGGGTTTAGGGTTTAGGGTTTAGGGTTTAGGGTTTAGGGTTTAGGGTTTAGGGTTAGGGTTTAGGGTTTAGGGTTTAGGGTTTAGGGTTTAGGGTTTAGGGTTTAGGGTTTAGGGTTTAGGGTTTAGGGTTTAGGGTTTAGGGTTTAGGGTTTAGAGTTTAGGGTTTAGGGTTCCCTGAAGGCTGCCCCCAAACCCGGTTCGCAGGTCCTTGCCTTTTCATGCTTTGACAAGAACTTAGAGTTTAAGGCTTTTGTTCGACGGTGCCCAAAATCACTCGAAGAGCCGCCTAAAGACCTATGAACCCCAAATCCTAAACCCTCAACCCTAAGCCCTAAACCCGAAACCCTAAACCCTAAACCTTATACTATACCCCAAACCCTAAAGCCTAAACCCTAAACCTTATATGACACGAAACTTTAACCCTGATATAAACCCCAAACCCTAAACCCTAAACCCTAAACCTTATATAAACCCTAAACCTTATATAAACTCAAACCTTAACCCTTATATAAACCCCAAACCCTAAACCCTAAACCCCAAACCCCAAACCCCAAACCCTCAACCCTAAACCCTAAACCTAAACCCTAAACCCTAAACCCTAAACCCCAAGTCCTGAATGTCCACTAGCAAAGCGGAGCGGCGTCCCAGTCGGGAGGAAGCCTGCGGCGGTCAGGGCAGCTGCGACCTGGCTAGCTGTTGAAGGAGCCTTCGGAGGTTTTTGAGAGTTTAGGGTTTAGGGTTTAGGGTTTGGGGTTTGGGGTTTAGGGTTCAGGGATTAGGGTTTAGGGTTCAGGGTCGAGAGTTGAGGGCTTTAGGTTGAGGGCCTACGTCATGAACGTCCTCAGATGCTCAACAGCGGTCGTCGTTTCCACTCCGTTGTTTTCCCTTTCCCCCCCCCCCCCCCCCCCCACACGGGTACGGTTTTGGGGTCCTCTCCTCAGAAAAGGCTGTCCCT